TTCCAAATACTCCCAGAAGTGGGGACAGGCTAAAAAGGGAAACATTTTGGATTCAGGCCCAGCAGGCAACAGACTAACCGGGTGTAAATAATAAGGATGTCTTCATCTTTCCACAATCCTGCTCCAGGGACGCGGCCAGAACCAGTATTTTAGTGTTCAAATGTCAAAGTAACACGACAGAGGACAGATGAGAGAGGACAGAGGAGAGAGGACAGAGGAGAGAGAGTGAGGAGAGAGGAGAGAAGACTGAGGGCAGAGGAGTGAGGACATGAGGAGAGAGGACAGAGGAGTGAGGACAGAGGAGTGAGGACAGAGGAGAGAGGAGTGAGGAGAGAGGACAGAAGACTGAGGGAAGAGGATGAGGACAGAGGAGAGAGGACAGAGGAGTGAGGACAGAGGAGAGAGATGAGGACAGAGGACGAGGAGAGAGGACAGAGGAGAGAGGAGAGAGGACAGAGGAGAGAGGAGAGAGGACAGAGGAGAGAGGACAGAGGAGAGAGGACAGAGGAGAGAGGAGAGAGAGACAGAGAGAGAGGACAGAGGAGAGGACAGAGGAGAGAGGACAGAGAGAGAGGACAGAGGACAGAGAGAGAGGACAGAGGAGAGAGGAGAGAGGACAGAGAGAGAGACAGAGAGAGAGACAGAGAGAGAGACAGAGGAGAGAGGAGAGAGGACAGAGAGAGGACAGAGGAGAGAGAGAGGACAGAGGAGAGAGGAGAGAGGACAGAGGAGAGAGGAGAGAGGACAGAGGAGAGAGGACAGAGGAGAGAGGACAGAGAGAGAGGACAGAGGAGAGACGAGAGAGGAGAGACAGAGAGAGAGAGGAGAGAGGACAGAGAGAGAGGACAGAGGAGAGAGGACAGAGACAGAGGACAGAGAGAGAGACAGAGGAGAGAGACAGAGGAGAGAGGACAGAGGACAGAGGAGAGAGGACAGAGGAGAGAGAGAGAGAGACAGAGGAGAGAGGAGAGAGGACAGAGGAGAGAGGAGAGAGGACAGAGGAGAGAGGACAGAGGAGAGAGACAGAGGACAGAGGACAGAGGAGAGAGGAGAGAGGACAGAGGAGAGAGGAGAGACAGAGAGAGAGGACCAGAGAGAGAGACAGAGGAGAGAGACCAGAGGAGAGACCAGAGGAGAGAGACAGAGAGAGACGAGAGAGAGACCAGAGGAGAGAGACAGAGAGAGAGGAGAGAGAGAGAGACAGAGAGAGACGAGAGAGAGACAGAGGAGAGAGACCAGAGAGAGAGACAGAGGAGAGAGAGAGACAGAGAGAGGACAGAGAGAGACAGAGAGAGAGGACAGAGAGAGAGACCAGAGAGGAGAGAGGACAGAGGAGAGACCAGAGAGAGGACAGAGGAGAGACGAGAGAGGACCAGAGAGAGGACAGAGAGAGGACCAGAGAGAGAGACAGAGGAGAGAGGAGAGAGGACAGAGAGGAGACAGAGGAGAGACGAGAGAGAGACAGAGAGAGGACAGAGGAGAGAGGACAGAGGAGAGAGGACAGAGGAGAGACGAGAGAGAGACAGAGGAGAGAGACCAGAGAGAGAGATGAGGACAGAGGAGAGACCAGAGAGAGAGGAGAGAGGAGAGAGGACAGAGGAGAGAGACAGAGAGAGAGGACCAGAGAGAGAGACCAGAGAGAGAGGACCAGAGAGAGGAGAGACAGAGGAGAGGACCAGAGAGAGAGACCAGAGAGAGAGAGAGAGACAGAGAGAGAGGACCAGAGAGAGACAGAGAGAGAGACCAGAGGAGAGGACCAGAGAGAGAGACCAGAGAGAGACAGAGAGAGACAGAGGAGAGAGAGAGAGGACAGAGAGAGAGACCAGAGGAGAGAGGAGAGAGAGAGAGACAGAGAGAGACCAGAGAGAGAGACCAGAGAGAGAGACCAGAGAGAGAGACCAGAGAGAGACCAGAGAGAGACAGAGAGAGAGAGAGGACCAGAGGAGAGAGAGACAGAGAGAGAGAGAGAGACCAGAGAGAGAGACCAGAGGAGAGACCAGAGAGAGACCAGAGAGAGACCAGAAGAGAGACCAGAGAGAGACCAGAGAGAGAGACCAGAGAGGAGACCAGAGAGAGACCAGAGAGAGAGACCAGAGGAGAGACCAGAGAGAGACCAGAGAGAGAGACCAGAGAGAGGACCAGAGAGAGACCAGAGAGAGAGAGAGAGAGACCAGAGAGAGACCAGAGAGAGACAGAGAGAGACCAGAGAGAGACCAGAGAGAGACCAGAGAGAGAGACCAGAGAGAGACAGAGGAGAGAGGACAGAGAGAGAGACCAGAGAGAGAGGACAGAGAGAGAGACCAGAGAGAGAGAGAGACCGAGAGAGAGACCAGA